GAATCTTGAGTTGGAAAAATTTCGTGTGTGGAATATATAATGGAGAGAGCTATAGATCAGATGTAGAATGTTTCTCATTAATTAAAAGAATTGAAATAACCACCGCATATTAAAATAATTATTACACATTTAGAAACGTTAAAATCTTCACTTTGAAAGTATGTTAAATTCTGGCAATCCTGAAGACAAAGAAGATTCACAGAGCCTTACATGCAAATACAGGACTTTCCTCTTTTAGGCAAGTGGCTGATGTAGACAGCAAAATAACAAAACAGAATATTTAATGTTTACAACCCAACAGTTTTCTTTGTGCCAGATATGTTTTGTGTCTGGAAATGAAACTAGGAAGCTTAACTTTACACAAACCAACCAACAAACAAACACATGTAGAGACAACTAATTATTTTTCTTTTAACTGTAAAAAGAAATCTTTTCTATTTACAAAGACTTGTATTTAAAATTTTGAAGTCATCTAGGTAAAGGATAGTAGTCTCAACAGTTCTCAAAATTGTGTTCCTCTCATTTCAGAGCTAGTCCCATTTTGGTAAGTTCACACTACCCTCATCACCTTCGCCCCCACATACTTTGAATAGTGGCCATTGACAACCTTAGGAAATATCATTTTATCACTTTTTCCTATCTAACAATAGAGACATTACATTTGATGAGTTACTTAGTTGTATTTTTTTTTAAATTAAACTTTCTTGTATTTGGTAAAGAAAAATAGCTTTTAAAATAGATAGTTATTGAAATAAGCCACACAGAAAAAGTTGAAAATCACATGATATCACTTATGTGTGAGATATAAACCTAAAAGCAACAAATGAACAGGACAAACAAACAGAGACTCGTGGACATGGACTATAGACTAGTGTTTACCACAGGGTAGGGGGTGAGGGAGGAAGGTGGAGGCAGATGGAGTAAAGGGGGTCAAATATAGGGGGATAGGGGAGGGTGAAGTGGGTAAAAGAGATCAAATATATGGTAGCTGAAGGAAACTGGACTTTGGGTGGTAAACACACAATAGAATATACAGATGTCAAATTATAATGTATACCTGGAAACTATATAATTGTATTAACCATCGTTACCCCAATAAACTTAATTAAAAAAATAAATTAATAAAATAGATAGTTATTGAAAACAGATATCCATCTCTCATTTATAAAATATCAGGCATAAAAAGCACTCACATCTAGCTATTAATTGAAAGGACTTAAAAATGGGGCTAGTCCTTATGTAACTTTCAGTGCTGTCTGGGTGTGTGAGCCTTTTAAGTTGCGCTAGTCAGTTATCCATAACCTTGACTTCTGTGTAAAATCAGTAACTACATGGAGATGATGAACAACTGCATTTCACATCTCCCGAGAACAGAACAATAGGAATGTGATTAAACTGCAAGAAGATAAATTTATGTATGGTTATGAGGGAAACATCTTTTTTCTTTACTAAAATTATGGGATGGCTACCATGGGTGATTATTTAATCTACTTCTTCAAAGTTTTATACAAAATTAAATTTAGTTGGTTTAAGAAGACTTTTGTGAAACAGGTAGTGCAGACAGCCCTTCAGAAAGGCTGTGGTATTTATACTCTCCCAGAGGTGACATGTGAAAGAGTGGGTTTTCCCTGAACAGATACTAACTTCAGGTATTCACGAGGAAGATGTGGCCTTGGAGGAAGGTGAAGGGCTTAGGACTCAGAAGCAAACAAAATCCAGTGAGGCAATTGATACCCCAAATAACCTTCCTCTGCATTTCATGTTATCTTTTTCTCAATGCTAGTTTTTAATTAAGGCTTCTTAAAAACCTTGTGAGCTCAGGGCGGATACCCTTCCTACTTTATATGCCTTGTCATTCCTCAGGGCTCCATACATTTAAGAAAGCTTTTGATTGATTGTCACAAAGGAAAAATGAAAGTTATGTGTTCTGTATCATCACTTTATAAAACTGACATGTACTGTACAAATTGTCACAGCATATCCAAAGGACAGTAGTCACGACCAGAGTGTAGCAGAAACAAAGCGTATATTACTTATCTAATCCAAAAAAGATTAAGTTTTTGTTCAGGGTGTTCTTTAAGCCATGTTCAACATTTTTATTTCTAAATAACATTTTCTTATTTGGTTCATTTCCTATCTCGGCAGCTTTACCAAATTCTGAGTGATTTTATTTTCATATGTCTTCTGCCAGAGACAGATTCTGGAACTATGAATTCATATAATATGTACTTTTAAGAATAAATATTTTGGTTATTATATATATGTGGTTTAAACTACACAGTGTAATTTAGTGCCAATTCACAATGAATTTATTATCTTGAATTCTAATGGAGACTAAAGTTTCTTAAATAAGCTTGGGGCATGTGGGCCCCAATGGAGCTGGAAGACTCCTTGCCATTTAAGCCTACTCATTTATTTAATACTAGCTTTCTGCAACCTCATGCCTATCAGATGAACAAGTTCCTAAAGAAAAAAGATAAAACAGAAAATATTGCAACACAGGAGTACGAAAACATCAACATCAAAAGACCACAAGAGGGAACTTTGCTCAGATTCTCTAAGCTTAGAGTGTTGAAACATGGAGATTTTACTATAAGAGTCTTTGTACACAGTTCTAGTCTTTAAACCTACAAACTATCCTTGAAATAATCGGATAAATAAATGTTATCAAATTCTCCCAGTTAGTGTTAATTACTCCCCAACACTTTATTTTTATTTCATCCTTGACATGAAAATTCTAGACACAAAGATTCTTAACTTCTTTTTTGTTTTTCCTAGCCTTTTGAAATCATTGTGTTCTAACATGTTCAGTGTAATTTAAAACTCAGTAATTCTCAACTAAACTCAAAATGAAAATAAAATTACCCACATCTCAATTAATTCAGAAGGAACCATTTAATTAGAGTGGATTGCTAAATTATCTGTAACACATTTCATTGCAATAACAATATTACTAAAGTATTTAAAGCCAACTCAAGTCATATGATGAATACTTATCTTACTTACTTAGATGTCTGAGCCTTAAAATCGTAAACAGCTTTTGCAGGCAATTTCTGAAAAGTAAAGTAAATGATTAGCACTAACTTAAAATTTGGATTTCCTACAGGAAAGCAATTTTGCATGAACTAAAGAGAAATGAAACATCAAGGAATGATTAAACATATATAACATAAATTCTATATAAAAATTTATGAATAAATTAATTAGTTCTTCATTTAGACATTTAAGCTATAACAGGAATATAATAGATGACTTATTCACCATAAGTATTGAATATCATATTTCATTTTAGGAGCTAAGGTAGATGAATGCCAAAATAGGGAAATAAAATGCCTGCAGAGGATTCTGTCCTAGGTATAATTTTGGCTGTAACCAAGGCATTTCCTGGAATAACTGTGGGGGGTCAGTTGTTCCATGTCTTATGTATTGACACAACTCATGAATCATAATAAAAAGGTTGGAAAAGTCATGAAGGAAGTAATTGTCCCTTTTACTAAACACATATAACATAGTAGCAAAGTAATATTAGCTCAATTATTACTGGGAGGCTAGTTAGTGGCTTGCATTCCCTGGAAGGTTCAGGAATTCTTCAGCACACAGTAAACCAACTGCTCATCTTTGAGTCATAACATGACGTGACATGTGCCCCACTCTGAAACCTTGGAGCCCACAGATCTGACCGGGCCATCTATAAGCTAGCAACTCCAGCTCTTCCTTCCCCACTTTCCAATAACTCCCCACATCTTTTTTCCCATTCTTTCCCCCTGTGATTCTGGTAAACTTTAGGCTACCTGGATCATTCTTGACTTCTTTGGGGGTTCCACAAACACAGGACTGTATCAGATACCTAGAGAGATACTCCTGGAGTGGCTGCCAGTCCAAGACCAGCTTTCAGTTTCCATCAAACATTCATGGCTCCAAGATAATGTGAGCCAGAGCTCCAGCCCTGGTCCAAGGTCTTGGACAAAGAGCCAATAGATAGGTGGTTCCCAGGGACAGTGGTTTTTCAGGGATCCTTTCCAACAAAAGCAGTGGAAAATTATTCATGTAGAATATGTATTGATTTGCAATAGTGGGCCTAGGGCTCTCACCCACATCGCTGAGCCAGGAATTTGTACAGGAGAAACCTTTTTCCACTGCAAGGCAGCTGGCATCCATGCAAATTCATGGGTGCAAGGCCAAGGCCCAAAGAAGCCTCACTGCCACAACTGAACCACAACTCAGGGAGATCTGCAGCTAGGGTCAGAATGCAGATGGCTCGAGTCCTTTGCTCAGGCTCCAGGGAACACTGTCTCTAGTTTCTCCATTGTCATTTTGTTAATCTGGGTTCTTGACTGGTTTTGGATGTAACTTTGGCTGGCAAGTTCTTTATCAAGTATGTTGATGAAAAAAACTCAAAAGCTGTTGAACTAATTACCTCTTTTTCTGGAGTTCCTCTTCTTTCCCTTGGTGCACTTCTTCCCAAGTCAGTCAAAGCGGATGAGTAACTTCTAGGGGACTCACGGTCTATTGGAAAGGACAGGGCCAGAGTGAGTATCCATCTACTAAAAGCAGACTTGTTTAGCCATTTTCCCTGGTGGCAACTACTTTTCCCCTTAAATTTAGAGAGACACCACAATGGAAAACATGGTTATAAAACATAGACGTAATCATAAAGTTGTGATACGAGACACAAAACAGAGCATTTCGAAAGGAAAATACCCGAGGTTGCCGAAGTATTACAATTGTATACATAAATATAATTGTTGCATTGCTAATATAATTATACAACAGCATCCAGTGTAAACACTACACAGTTGCTAGGATTTTTCATCTCAAAGATTTTTTAATATTTTCTATTTCTAGTCTTTTTGCCTCTGATTTGTAATTAGTATTATAAGGCCTATAGAAGACAGGGAATAGCAACAATTTATAGACACTGAAACATTTTGTGGAACATCAATTTTAGAATGTAGTAATGAAAAAGAAAGAGAAAAATGAAGAGAGTACAATGATGAAAGAACCATGGTCATGTCATTCTGTCCCTCATTATTTTTAAGTACTTATTGAGTCTGAAGATGTCATCTTGAGGCTTAATTCTTAAAAGGCCTTTATCACTGGCCTTCCTTTGTGCTCTAGCTTATCAGAAAGTAAATATTTATTCTAAGAAACAAAGGGATTAAAATTCTCTAAACAAATAGTATCATATCAGTTGCCAAGCTGCTTATGAAATATTGTTTTTTTCCTTTTAAAACAAAGTATAAATAATTAATTACTTTACACAATTATGATTGCGAGGGTCTCTTAATAGTACCTTATACTTTACATATTTATATGTGAAATGTAACTAGAGGCTAAAAATATTCCAGTAGTCTATGTTATAAAATTTTACCAGTATAACTGAGTCCAAATGTATAAATTATTTTGCTTATCCTTTAATAAATTCAGTTATATTGAATAATATGAAGCATTAAAAATAAAATAAATCTGTCTATAAAAGAATGAAGAAGGCTGATCTGTAAAAAAGGAAACATCGTTTAAAGGTTCTGACTACTTTGATTATATGGAAGAATTGTCTACCTACAGCAGGTAGGATAGCAGTTAAATCCACACCTCTCTCTGTGAGGTGTGGATTCCAAAGTCTCTAGGCTTAACAAAATAACATGGCCATAAGTATTGAAGTTAAAACCTAAACAGCTATTTTCATAAATGCTAGAAGATTATTTATATGTTTTATTCTAAATTAATCTTATAGGGCTCTCATAATAGTCATAAATTTTAAATTACTTTTACTAACTCATGAAATAGAAACTATTTTTCACTTGGGCTAAACACAATTGGAAAGTATATACTTTATTAAAATACAAAATACCCTTTAAATGCATTTCAAAAATTCTCTCAATTCGTGTTTCAATGATTGTACATATTCTATCTACACATAAAATTGAGGGATGATTAAATTAGAGTTTTGAAAAACTGGAAAAGATAGCTAATTCATTTAAAAATTAGATTCTGACATATCTCAATCAGTGAAAATTTCAGATTGTATAAATTTATTTTTTTAATTCTAATTTATTGTTTTTGAAGTATGTTGCACAGTATAAATGGGCAAAGATAAATACTAATAATATAGTAAATTTGTGCAATGATAATTAATGGTTGAACCATATATTACATTAATATGAAATTTGAATTATGTCTCTTTTTTGTCTATAGAGATTATTTTCTGTACTATAAATTCTTATGCATTAGGAGAGTGAATCTGTTACTGTTAACTTCTCTCTGAATGACCTCATTCAGCGATATTGTCCTCTCTGGGTCTCGATTTCCTTTATTGTAAAACAATGCTTACAATAATACCTATCACCTAGGTTTATGCCAGTGTTAATTAGATAATGTATGTAAAATGCTTTGCAATGTGTGCTATGTGGAAGATACTGTTGATGATCAATATTTCAGCCTGGAATGTTCATTTCAGCTTCTTAAAATTTACGTAGTAAAAAATGTACTTAAAGAATTAATGAAAAGAATGGTATAAAAAGATCAAAACACTGTGTTTTTCAGTTATGTAAACCTCAAAAAGAAAAAAAGTCTTTTGCATCTGAAATTGCAATTTGTCCTTGTGTTGCCTAGATTACTTCTAGGTAGTAATCTATTCATGAGAACAAGGTAGTCACTTTTAACCTAAATGGTCTAAATTCAAATGTCAATATAGGATTGTTTTAGCAGAAAATAAATAAATAGAGTAACGGAAAGGAAGACAAAATGAATACACTGCGTGATGGAAATGAGACTTTTATATATATACAGCTTAAAGATATATTCACAAAAATTTTTTATCCCAATTGTGTCCTTTAAACTGAGAAAGTTATTAAACAAATTCTAGTCTCTTTTAATTGTCCATCAATTATTACATGACATATTTCAGTTTTGCTTCCTGGGTGTTCTGATTTAGTATCTTGTATATAGAATGTGAGCAAATTATTGAGTGAATGACTATAAAGTTAATATAAAAATCAAAGAAGAGGCTATTTGTCAAACTATTGGTTTTGATTCATTTTACAACAAAAGAGAGCTAATGCAGCTATCAGTTTCTTAAGGATACTGATATTCAATTACAATTTCTGTCTTGAAATCTTTTTAAATTGAAGAAATGTTTAATTTCTTGTTTCAGTGTGACTAACAGTTGTTTCAGTCCTAACATTAAGCTACAAAATGGTTTTCCCCAATGATTTTGAATGAGTAAATTTTTGTGAATTGATGATCACTTTAAGCCACACATCCAGTCCAAATATCACACGGGCGAACGAGAACTATTCAGTAAGACATGTTTGCACAACAAGCATTTGCTTTGCAACACACAATGATGCCCAGTGGTCTCACAGCCCAGGAATGATGAGATGTAGGAATGGAAAATGAAAGAGCTGGAGGGTGGGTATCTGAACCACAAGGAGAAAGAAAGGAAAGTTCATCCACCTTGGAGACTCAGTGTGCTCTCGTGGTCTTGGTGGTGGTAGTTATTATTGGTGTCCATGTCTTGGAAAGAGGCACTGTGAGGCATTCTCCCACATTCGCTGGGGTACAATGGACAATGAATAGCACCATCCTGAGGCAGTGGGTGGAAAGGCTGGTGCATGGGGCTCCTTTTCAGCGCTTTAAGTGATGAATTCCTTTCAGGAATATCCGGCAGCAGTCCACTGATAAGACGGTGCAATATACTATTGTCTGGCAAACTTCCCCTTCTCTTTTCAGCTTTAATTTGGTCACAAATGTCTTTAAGGGCAGAGTCCAGAGCCTCAAAAACAGATGTTTTACATTTTGCCTTTTCAGTCTGTTTTTTGGGAGTCGAATTTTTTTTCCTCCGGAAAGGCACAGGACTAACTAGAAACGCAAGTTTAGAAAGGCCAGGGTCCATTTCTTGTCTTCTGGGCTCTTCGGCATTTTCATGTTTCGCTCTTTCATGTTTTAACATTGTGGTAAATCGAGTATAGGAGGCGGGGCATCTGCCTTTGCAGGAGCTGATGAGATGCCGGTGATGATGGTGGTGATGGTGGTGGTGATGGTGGCTGGATCCATAAAAACTTTCAGAGGATGTGAAAGAAAAGTGATCAAAATCACTCTCACTACAAAAGGATGATCCTTCTACATGAACATAATCGCTGTGGTCAGACACCACTCCGTCTTGATCGCTATCAGAAAACTCCACATGAGCTCTCGGTTGCTCATCGCTGGTGACTTCAATATGAATGGGCACCAGGGTTTTAGACTTGTAGCTTCGTTGGACCTGACAAGGGTGTCTACTTTGATTTTCTTCCTCCAACAAGGACTCAATAGAAAATCGCCTTTTGGGGCATAAACCATTTTGTTGTGGTTCTAGGATTATAGGAGATAACATTTCATCTCCTAAATTGGGCATGGATTTCGACTTTTGAATCAACTTTTCAAACTCAGAAATGCGTGTGGGTACCATGTCCCTGGGCACCTCCTCCGTGGAGGACTGGCTCCATCCGTGGAGCAGGCCCTTGTGTTGCTGCTCCTTTTCATACTGCATTATTCTCGACTTTACGGAGCAAATCACCTCTGAATTCATCAAATCCTTGCGGTTAATGCGGTGCATTTTCTTGTACATCTTTAGGAACCCTGGGGCGTCGTGGGCTGGCCTGTGTCGAAGCCTTGATCTGCCGTTGCTGCGGCCCTCCTGGATGTAGGGGCTCGCCCACGGCATGGGGCCGTGCTCCTCGGAGACCTCTTCGCATAACAGAGAGCCCATACTTTCCGACTTGGTTTTCGGGTCAGGGAAGCTATCGCAGTCATCGTTTAGGAGATCATCACAACTACGGGATTTGATTTTGGGGGAAACCGTTTCTTCGGTGCTGCTCCAGACCTCTGCATTTTGCCGGGCCATTTGCCAGCCGTTTTTGAAAGTAATGGCTCTCTGTGAGTCACGCGGGACGTCCAAATGCTGTCTGTAAGTGTTACAGTAATCTAACTCACTGGAGGGGTTACTGTTGAGCTCTGAGTAACTGCAAAGGGATGGACATATTTTGCTATCATCCCCACCTTTGAATCCAGAGCAGCGTGGTGGAAGAGAGACATTTGGAGAAGTTAAAAGTTTCACAAAGAGGAGAGCAAGTCAGTTAGCATCAGATAAAAGAGAAAGCAGCATGGTTTAATCTAGACACTGATTGTTACACACGAAGCTTCAACTTTAGAGAAAAAAATGTCTAATTCTAAAACAAAGTAATACTTTTGCCATGAATGTAGCATTGCAGATATTAGAGCTAACAAAACTATCTATAAAAAGTAATCAGTGTAGTTAATATACCTATTTCTATTGAATACTTCATATACTTTTCTGCAAATATGGTATACCAAAAACACAGTAGCACCTTATTAGCTAATAGCATGACCTGGTAGCAATTTAAAGGTTTAACAAATAATGCCAAAAGTGATATAGATTTAATCAACTAAATAGGGTCAGGATTTGAGTCTCATTTGATTTATAATAATAGAGAGGTAAAGAGTAATTTATAAATTTACATTTAATGAATATCCCCATAACTGTATCAAATAATTTTTCATGAGCATTAGATAGAAAAAGCTAGAAGACAAAGTATTTTCCAAAATTGCAAAAATCAACATGCTGTGAACTATTGCTGCTGACATTTTTCCAAGAAAAAAATAACTAGCACCTCTTTAAACAAACTAATTTACCTCTTTCATTATTCAACCTTGAACCTCTTATTAGGCAGATTCTCATAAGAATAACTGGATGTAATGTAAGACTTTCATCAGAGGTAAAGGCATCTTGCTTTCTTTCAGGGAGGGTCTTTTAAAAACTTGTTTGCAATTTGATAACAGAGAGCTAATCCTGACCTCAGCTGGAATATGCATGGAAATATTTCCTTTTGTTTTGCTGGGTCAATTAGTAAACGGGAGGCCAAATACATCTAGTGGGATATTTTCTTCTTAGAAATAAATCTAGTGGAGCAAAATATCAGTATCGACAGCTCTTCCTTTACTGTCTTCCCCAAATTCTTCAGAAGTAGATAAGCACATTAAATAGATATGTAGCATTTGGGAAAGGAAGTTCACTTAACGCTCCCCTGGGATAAAAACAAATACCTAAATCAGAATCCTTTTAACTTTTGGGTGGTATCCAAGCAAAATGAATCAATGGCATTTCATGATCTATTTGTTACTTTAAGACATTTGTTTGCATAAATGAGTAAAATCTGATAAAAATATCCTTGTCAATTTGAAGAAAGGTATCATGAAAGGGGTGCACTCCGTTTGAACCTTCCTGTTAGTATTCACAGCTTTATTAGGACATGAAAGAGAGCTGGTGTCTTTTGTTTATCCAGAGTCCAGCATGTTTTTGCACAAGGACCGGTTACTTCTTAGTTGTAACCGTCATGTGGCAACACTTTTAGTGCCTACATTTCATACATGTAGCTAAATCTGTGCTATTTCATGGAAACCTCTGTTAGAAGCTATTTTCTTCATACATTTCAGTTTTTTTTCTCTCTCTTTTTGCTCCAACCCCAGGAGATTGGAGAAGACTGCAGAGCCCAGGATTTGGTATAGACCTAGGTATCTATGGGTGCTGGTTTGATCCTCAGTCTCCATCTTAGGAATATTCTTGTTATAGTGGCAGCAATGCACTCAACAGTATTTCAGAGATGTGAAGGAGTGACTTGCTCCCTTTCAACTCAACTTACTGAATTTCCTTAGGGGAGACAGGCCACGTGGAAAAAAGGCTTAGTGATATCTAAATTTTATAACTATGGCTTGAAACCAGTTAGTTCTTACTAGTGATCTGTTATGAAATGGACACTATGTTACATGCAGAACATGGATATACTACTGCTTATATGAATATGGACCAAAATATCGAGAAATGTTTAAAGAAATGATTTTCATAGGTTAGACTAATTTTATCTAGAATTAATTAAGAAAAAACAAAACTAATTTATATTTTAGGCAACAATGTTCTCTGTTGCTACTTACAATCTCTATTCTACAAATTTGATTCATTTTGTTCATTATAGTTACATTAGAAAATTTTGATTACTTGCAAATGTTTATAAATATAATCTTTTGATAGCCTAGCAATATATTATTTGATAGTTCGAATTTGTTCCCCCACAAACACACACACACACACACACACACACACACACACACACACACACACACACACACAAACGATACATTTGGAGGACAAAAATAAGCATTCACAGATGATAGAGTCCTCTAAGCCACCCGAGTGGCTCACCAACCTGACTTAGCCTGGGTTAAGGAAGAAAGCTACTCTTCTGAAACTATAAATGCGAATTATCTCTGGATAGTTATCACTCACTGCACCAGCTCTCACAGGGCGCTCTACGTTAAAACTTACACTAGTAAACTGCTTGCACTTCAGTTTATCGTTGTTTACCTTTCGCTCTAGATGGGGAAGAAGGAGAAGAACTAATGAATGACTTTGTCAGGGTGGCGCTTGGTCCTGGGAGGTCTGCCCGGCCTGGGCTCGTCCTGCTCGCACTTGGCTCCCCCAAGCCCCTCGGCTGCCCCACGGCAGGCTCGCTCTTCCTTCTTTTCCTGAAGTCACTGGCCAGGCTTGCAGAACTGAAAGAAGGAATTGGCTTCAGTTGGGTTGGTGCTGGAGGAAGCTAACACGTGAACCAGAAGGACCAATGGAATATGCTAGTGACAGTGTTATAACTCTTATTCCCCATCCCTCAAACCGCCCTTTAAAGAATTCGTTCCTTGACAGTAAACACTATTTTTTTATAATGATTTCTTTAAAAAATTAATAAACTTAATTTTTTTAAGAGTGGTTTTAGGTGACTGAAAAAAATGATAGGAAAGTTTAGCGATTCCCGTATATTCTACCTATTACTGCCATTGTCTGTTCGTGTGGTGCCATTGTTACAGTTGATGAACCATACTGATACGTTATTATTAAATGTAACCAAAGTCCCTAGTTTACATAGGGTTCCTCTTTTCTGTTGAACATACGAGTTCTGACATATGTGTAATGACATGTGTCCATCACTACTGTATCATAAAATAGTGTCATTGCCATACAAATCCCCCGTGCTCTACCTCTTCATCACTCCCTCCCACTGAACACTGGCAGAGTCCTTTCACTCAGTCATATTAAATGGTGTCGACAGTCCATAATGGCAGGAAATTTTTATCATAGCTCTGGGTCTGAGTACAGTATCATTTAAGGCAAACATTAGTGAGTGAAGATAAACATCACACAGCATGCTGTCTGTCAAATCATTCGATAAAAGTACATCAAAAGCAGCAGCAACAGCACATCAGCTCCTATGATCTGGCAGTATGCTATTTGCTGTACTGACATTATTTTCTTACATAACCCATAGTATTATCACTGTTTTACAAATGAGCAAATGCAACACGCATGCTTTGTAGGTGTAGAGGTGGAGCCAGACCTCAGAACTTGTTTGCAGTCTTTTAAAGAGAATGCCCCAGCTTCTCCTAGACTTGTTTTGCTGTCATTATCATGTCATGTGAGGGTCTGCATGTCTTTACAGGTCAGATTATAACTCCAAAATTCGAACATTTTAGGTGCATATATAGATGGGGAAAGATATAAAAAGAGGGGTTGGAGGAACTCCTTTCTTAGTGACTACGTCCTTGGATGGCACTCATGAACCCAATTGACAAAGGGCTCAACTTTCAAAGTTTTCTGCTTATGCCGATGGAAATCTATAGAAGGGCAAATTAATGTTACATAAATACTTGTTGTTGATGATACAGTATGGCTGGGAGTTTGTATTATTCAATTTGCTATTGAACTGTGTCTGAATTTCTATAATATTTTAAAGTATGATATTTAAAGCCTACCAACAGAAATTCACTTGGCAGATTTTTAATGTAGTTAGGACTAGTGGTTGCAAGTTATTTTGGTTCAGTTCTACGGCGTCTGTCTGCTCCTTGCCAACTGTGTAAACCTTGAAAGTTATAGAGCCTAAGTTTTAGTTTACTGAGAGATAAAATGGGAATAGCAGTATAGAACTCATACTGGTGTCTTAAGGTTTGAATTTGTTTATGTACTTAGAATACTTAATATATAGTAAGCCCTCATTTATTTGTAGTAACAGTATTTCTGATTTTTGTGGTCAAAGTATAATGAACAAATATGCGTAGAACATAATTTAGAAAAAATGTTATAACTTATAATTTTAAAAATATATATTATTGTAAACATTATTTAACAATATTGAAAATTAGATATTTATAATCCCCATTTAAAGAAAAGAAAACTGGATATAGAGGAGATAGTGAAGGGAAGAATTTCTCAGTCTGTAAAGTCCAGAATTATTTCACTTGATTTTCATATATTCTTGAATATCATCATATTAAAAGATGCAGAAACAAAATAAAATAACTTCGTAAAGTATGGTGCTTAAAAAAAACATGTAATACATAATTTCACTATTCTTTCACTGAAAAAGAAACCACTGGTATGGAATATTCTCATTGCATAATGTAATAAGATTCTTACCTAGTGGGTCTTTCCAGACTTCTATCTATAGAGGATTGATACAAGGAGGCCTGTTAAAATAGAATAATAATAATACCATGAAAATTTTTACCATGGCAAAACTTAATTTGTCTGTGAACATTAAATTAAGTATCCTAAAAAGAATATTATAAAAAATGAGATTAAAAATACCATTTATTATGATTGTTAAAAAATGTTTTCCCAAAGAGAAATCATGCAACCTGATTTCTACTTTCTTCCTATCTACTTTCTCTTTTGATATACTCCACTATATTTCTCTGTTTTACTCAAATTATCTACAACTCAAGCATTGCCTGGGGGAAAAAAAGAAAAAAAAATTAATGACCATTCATGCAAATAGAAATTTTCTATATAAAGGAATCATTTGATGTTTTAAAAATAATTTTTGGTCATCACTCAATCTTTATAAACTTTTGTCATGTTCCCAGGTGTTATTTTTAAAACCTAAAACTTAAGCAGAACTTGAGATGTCTTTCATCTGTCAACATAGACGTGGCATTTTAATAAAAACCACAGAATTTTGTTTGGAATTAAACTAAACTACTGGTACTTAAATCAGGTACAGATTTAAATCTTTCAAATAGTTAAGTTCAGGATTAGTTTAAAATAAATGATTTAATGACCAACATATAGCTTTTCTTTTAAAGTCAACTATTAACATTTTCATCAGAAAATCAACTCTCAGTTGTCCATGGTTGTAGGGACAAAGAAAAACAGAAAATACAAATTGGTAAATAATTCCGGATTTTTATAGTACACACCATTTTCATAATCCTTTGTTCTGAACAGCACAAGGAAATAGATATTAAATAAAAATGTTACATCAGAATTTTTCACTTCTCATGGCCATTTACTGGAATAATTGTAAAATATCTAAAAGAAAAGGGAGGATCAGTAGCGAACTCTAGAATGGTGACATTGCAAGATGAAAGTAGTTGTGATATGATGTCTAGAATATATAGGAAAAAGGAAACTAAATAGTCTTGGCTTTAGTCAGATTCGATGATTAATTATCACGAATAAGCTGTGGTCTGATGAACAACTGAAATTCTAATTTGAAAATGTTCTTCTCTATGAAAGTTTAAAAATGTCAGTCAGAAAGGCAGAATTTGATAAGTTTTATCTTAAGTTCCTATTACACAGGAACATTTTACTAGAGTGCAAAAACCTTGCTCAGTGGAAATTAAACCACACATTAAGAGCTACTTCTATAACTTTCGTTTCTATTTGTAAATTAGCACCAATTAACCAATTAAACTATTAGTATATAATTTTGACATTCTTTATGTAGATCAGTTTGACAAGCCCCTTACATTTTCATTTAATTTCATCTTACTGAATGAGAATGGAATCTTGCTCAGAAACAACGAAAGCATCCTTTGCAAGAGAATATTTCTTCCATTTTAGACAGAAAAGCGCAGTCTAATATTTTTAGTTACTAAAAAATGTTTAGATTTCTAAGTTCTCAACAAATATAAAATTAGGAAAAAAAACCAGCCTACTGATCTAATAAATTTATGTGATTATTTTAAGTCGCTGAACTCTGAATTGGACATTGAAAAGGCAGAAAATAAATATTAAATAAGAAGGAAGACAAGCAAGTAAATAAAAAAAAAACTAGGTAATTATATTCCAGTTTAGAAATATTAATTTTGCATGTTTGCAGAAGAACAACACCAAAGAGCCTCAGAACGTTGCTTTCATGGGACACCCAACCACAAACCACAGTTGATCATCAAAAAGTATAAATTTCAGAGCAGTCTTAGGATACTCCGAGAGTGATCAGAAATTTTGAGTTGCCAGCTTGGGATGACCCTAAATAATAATTGTAATATGAATTAAAATGTAGCAGAGGAAGTGAGGGCTCTACACTGACAAATTTTTTTCAGACTTTGGCTAAGAAACTACAATAATTTCTTCTAATGTTAGTATCCACAAAATTCATAATAAACTGAAACAGATTTTGTGATTTTATGTATACCCAAAGGAAAAGATTCAATATTAAATTATAAGGAAACAATAAAAAGTCTAGATAGATGACTAAGAGAAAAACTTGTATGATAATTATATGAATGGTACTCATACTGAAATGGAAATTATCTCCAGAAAAAGAGGTAACCTATTTGACCTATTATGATCTACTTAGTATTTACATATTACCATTATTTTAACACATCTAAACGAAGGTTATTTTAACAAAGTGGAGACATTGAATCACTCATTTTTGTTCATTGATCATGTGATTAAACTTTGCTTAAAAGTCCATAATTGTTGTTTATTAAATACTGTTTCTCAGTTATATTTATGGATTAGAAAATATGTTATTCTGGGGGAGGGGAAAATCTGGTGGGGGAGGGGAGAGGTAGATGGGGTAAAGGGTCAAATATGTAAAATTTGAAGTTATATAAATTACATCAAATGAATAAAATATATATATATATATAAAGAAAATATGTTATTCTTGGCATATACTAGGCACTTGATAAATAATAGCAAAGGTAATGTCTAATTAATTACAATTTTTATCAGAAATGTTTTACAAAAGGTTATTTAAGATAGAATCTAGTACCTTATAGGAGTATTTTTTACACTCTGAAAAACCATGATGTGAAATTAATAACATAGTTAATATGCTATCAATCATATACCATGCCCTCTGAATCAATTAATTGATTGATAATGGCAAATCAATTTAGCCATTAGCAAAGTGCTTTTACATGTGATTTTTATTGCCACTACTATAACAATATAGAATGCATAGAATTAAATGTTTACTATTTTTAGCCCAAGAATTATTGTGTAATGTTAAATACTAGAACTTATTTCACAGAAATAAGTAGTTAATAAAGAATAGTATTAAGTAATTTTTTCTAAAAGATTTGAGCTCTAAATATATCTCTTGGAAATGCTAAGAAGTGTGATATAAAGGAAACTGCCCTGAAGTGAAAGTTAAGAGATCTGTAATTTATTTTTAATTTGCCACCATTTTACCCTGTGATTTTGGACATTACTTCCTAAAATCGTTGGGCTCTACTTTTCCTGACTAAAAAATGAGGGCTTTGGATATGGTAATCTCTAAATTCTATTCTTAATGAACCAACTGCCTTAAAAATATTCTAGAAATACTTGACCAAAATATCTGAGAGAAATATCTGACTAAATTGAATTCCGAAGTAAATTCTTAGGTTGTTAATATGTTGAAACGATTCCCTTTCTTCAGATGTGAAGGAAACTCAAGAATAGAATTGCTTGCTGTATTTGATTTTCTTCAGATTATATGCCAATCTATAAAAATAAGCCTTTAAAAATGACTGAATTCAGTAACCCAGAATGTTTTTGACTACTCTATTTTACTTTTAATTTAATATATAAATATTTTGATCACTTCTCTCTTTAACATATACTCTGATGCATACCTCAGGATAAATAGTTTGGAATTACAAATTGAAACTTTAGAAAGTTTGGTATATCCTCCTGAGACTGTTCCTACAATTCCAGTTTTCACCACCATGTGTCAGTAGTTCTTCCTGCAGCACAGGCATCCTATTAGTTTTATTTTCTAGTTGCACATACTTAACCGAGTTAAGACTTTTCACTGAAAATAATATATTTACTAAGTGTTTTTGTATTTCCTTAGGACCACAGAGAAGCTTCTGTTCAAAAAACAGTTTACTTTGCTCCCATCCTAGATGCTTCTAAGAATTCCTACAGGGAGCCTTTTGTATAGCTGCTTTTGCTTGTGTCTACTAGTGAGTCCTAATTATGCTTTCCAAAATGTTTTATTTTTCTTCGCAAAGAGCAAGATAAAAAGCTTTTGACACAGGATTATTTCTGCCTTTTTAGTACTCTCCTTGACTAATTCAAATAAAATTTTACATTGTCCGGCATAATTTTTTTTTCACCAAGCAGATTATCATGAGCATCCCCAATCAGAGATGGCAAATACAGTTCGTCATATGTGCCAGTGATATATAATCTATTGGAGTGGCTGCCTGGACTGCAGCATTGGGAAGGATTTAGCAATTTCTGTCAAGTGTGTAGAGCTGGGAATTTGTGACATGTATGCTAGTTATTTGTCAGGCATAATTTTGATTCTATCTAATACTAAAATCCACAAATTATATTTGGGAAATTGAAAGAATTAAAATAAATTTTAGGAATATAGTGGGCATAAACATCTGATTGTCTAAGAATCTAAAGTGTCATTCTGCTCTGAGAAGCCTTCTAGTAATATTTTAGTCTAATTGAAACAGGCAACCAGGGGGATCACTTCTTAAATTATATCAATGTTTAATCACTATACTGTATACCTGAAACTAATATAAAATAACTCTAATTGTCAATTCTAATTGAAAAAAAAAAACACAGGTGGCTAATATATGCACTAAGACTACTAGTGATTTGATTCTTGGTGCTCGCACTCCTGGATACTAGGATTTCACTGAGGAATTCAACTGAAAGATGCAGCTGATTCTTCACCTACATTTCAGAAAGAGCCAATGCCTTTGGTACAATTAATGTCCAAGGAATGATACTGGATACGCCCCAATGATACAAAGGTAGATTTTCAAAAACAGCTTAGATACTATAGTGAATCGTAAAACACAGATGTTTGGAATCACAGTAACAGCTCCTAAGAGAGAAATCTGAAAAAGAGATAATTGTTTTTTTTTACCTCATTGGAAACACCAGAAGAATGATCTTGAACATAGTCCAGAGCCTTTTTAGGAGGCTGGGTGTAGATGCACCACATAAGCAGAAGTGTAGAGATGGAATGGAGGAGAATCAATGGCAGCAAGGAATGAACATGTGGAAAAGGTGACAACAGTTAGAAATTGAGTGCTGACAGCATCAGATACACATAAAGAGTGACATGAATGGAGCAAAATGGGGTAGTCTAGGAGAAAGAGTGCTATGCTCGTAAATATTCTCAAGCACTGGGCAAAATTACTAGTGATTTGATTAGTATATTTATAAACTCATTTCATCAAATCAAATTAGCACTCCTAGTCTCTAGCCACAGAGGAAT